ACAGGAGTCAGGATACCTTTTGTAACAGTATGCTTTCGAACTAACCCATGCTTCAATTAGGACTTTTGCAGGGTTGTAACGTTGCTTGGTTCACGGTTTAAGAAACAAAGGATAAAGGCTCAAAGTATATTTGTACTCACCCGCTCTTCGTGATGTTCTTCAACCCTAAGCTCGGTTAATTGTGTGTCGCACTCTGTTCGAGTTTGGAACGACTTTTGGGTGATGGTTCACCAATTGAATTTGGGAGACAATCATCATCTCCTTTTTCTTTGCAACATTTTTCATGTTGTTAAGGATTTGTAATGACCTCTTTCTTTTGATTTTGATTTGTTATCCCTAACTTTTGCCTGACCGTTCCTGTTTTCGAGATTACAGTCAGCGGGATGCCCCAGCTTTCTCAAGCCTCCTTTACAGGTTTTGGCTCATTGGGCCTTTTCTCTTTTGAGAGATTGACTGCCTATGTGATAGGGAACCATCACTGTCTTGTGATTCCAAAGGAATGCTTTTTTGTTGACGCCGTTCGTTGTATTACGAACTGAGAGTTTGCGACTTCAATGCGCACCCTTTTTTTGAATTAACTGAGAGACTACCATGCCCCAGGTTTATATCAAAGGTTTCGATTTGTTTAGAACAGAAAACTCCTACTTCTTTGGCTCGAAGGGGTTGACTAGGGATTATCTTCCTTATAACTCCAGTGTTTGGGAATTGAAAGAAATGCTTGTACATCATCAGCAAGGTCTGTTCAAAAGCATACTATATGGGATTATGGTATTGTTTCGTCATCCTCCCTCTAAAGGCTCGTAGCTTTTTATCAAGAGTTAAATATCATAAAGAAAGCATAAGAGTAGTGAAAACAAATGCATGAATTCAAGACAAACATATGCAATGCATTAATGAAACAGAGTTTAACATCAACAGTTAATTGTTTGAAAACAAAAGAAATTACAACTTTGAAAATTCAAATGAAGCAAAAGTCTTTCAGTTTGAGCTTTATCACTTCAGGTGGAGAACTCCTTAACGGAAGATTTTCATCTCTCCGTCTGGCGTGAACCTCAGCACTCCAATGTCAATCAGATCTTGAATCTTGTTCTTCAAGGCCCAACAGTCGTCGGTGTCGTGTCCCGGGCTGTAGGAGTGGTATACACAAAATGCATCGGGATGATAGTTAGGAGCGGAGGTATTGGGCTTCCGAATAGGATCCCTCAAAGCAGTCAGATTGACCTCTAACAAGCGCTCCAGTATTAGAGATGACGGTATGTCAGTCTCAGTGAATTGTCTTCCCGACATCTCTTGCTTACGCCGATTACCCCGTTGACGCTGGCGAGGTTGTTGATGGGCTTGTGACCCTGAAGCAAGCAGAGGAGCCTTCCCCTTGTCTTCTTGTCTGGATTGGGGTTGAGTGGTTACTTGCTCTTCAACCTCAGATGTTTGCCCCAGTTGGTTGTTTCGAAGCAGTTGGTTGACGAGAACTCTGAGTTCCTCTTGTCTTTGAGCTAAGTCCTGGATGAGAGCCATCTGGCCCACCAGTTGCCCCGTCATTTGGATCCTCATTGTTGTCAGCTCAGACTGCAGTGCTTCCAACTGATCACTCCTGGCATTGTTTGAATTCCCCTGGACCATGCCTCTTGTGAGGAGAGCTTTCATTTCTTCTTGCCCCAGAGACAAGTTCAAGAACATCTCTTGAAGCTGAGCATTTTGGTCCTGGATATCCTTGACAGTCCTTTCTAGAGCCATCTCTACTGAAATAAACAGTAGGTGAGTAAGGAAACCTGAAAAAGGAAAAAAACTGTCATGATGCAATGCATGATATGTGGATGCATGCTTTCAAGGATCTCTTGGGGTAAACACAAGAGAATGTTAGAGGTTGAACTTTGATCTTTGATTGGAGATCTTTGCACCGGTGGATGTCTTTCCACGAGAATCAAGCTCACCATGTCAAGTGGGTCATAGCCCCTGATTCAAGTTGTTGCACTTGATCTTTGATTGGAGAACTTTGCACCGGTGGATGTCTTTCCACGAGAATCAAGCTCACCATGTCAAGTGGGTCATAGCCCCTGATTCAAGTTGTTGCACTCGATCTTTGATGGCATTTGTTTAGAGGAGAAAACCTCTTGCCCCTTGGTAGACGTCCGGTTCAACGTAACCCTGCATCGAAAGAACCCTCAAGATCCTTGAAATGGTTAGTGAAAATGCTATGGTATGATGGTATGATGGTATGATGTTATGTACATGTATGCAAAAGCAAGTAAGTGAGTGTATATACAGGTAATCATATTCACACAAAGCAAACAAGTCCTTAGGTTTAGGCTTGCATGGGGTTTGTAGGTAAGTACCCTCTTTCAGTTTCGTTGGTTAAGACCTGTCATATCAAAAGTAACCGGGTTCTAGAGGATCTCAATATCACTGACTACCCTCAATCGGTCATAACTCCAGCATCGCAATCTTTTCTTGCGGCCAGAACCATCGCGAGAGTTTAGCCTCAATGAGTGTAGCATACTGCTACCGTTCTATGGCCAAGTTGGGTCAATTTAGGGTTCTAAGGTCGGTTGGTGCTTAATGACCCCTTAGAAGACCCATATTCTCCTCATTGCAACACAAGGGATATCGGTACAGACCAAGGTGTCACACCAACGTAGCCACTGCTTCACCCATATCGGTCTATGCCGGACAGGTCCCTCACAGCTTATGCTACCTAAAGGGTATTCCCCAGATCCGGGTTAGGATCTATGAAACTCCGATGCAAAGCCCACAAATATAAAAGCAAACAAAGCAAGCAATTGAAAATAAATGTGATCTAAATCCTAAGGTAACCCAACTTTTAAGTCAATCCCCAGCAGAGTCGCCAGTTCTGTGATACGGTGGGAGAACTGACTTGGGTTTTGCGTTTGTATTCGCACTTGTTCGGTTTAGCAAGAGTCGCCACCGACTTTTTATTTTATCCTAAAGGAAAGGTTAAAAAGCACAGGAAAAACCTTTTGAGATGTTTCGTGGGTTCGGGGGGTAGATTATGAAAAGGGAAGGTATTAGCACCCTTTTCATCCATGGTTATCCATGGGCTCTTAGTTACTTGTTTAGATCACTTGCCTTTGATTTTCAATTTCTTGAAATGGTTGTGTGTGTGTGTGTGTGTGTGTTTTGAAAAAGACGCCTTGTCTAGGAAATCATTGTAATGACTCGTGTTTGAGTGTTTTACAAAGGTGTGTATCTTTTCGAAAAGATGTTTCAAATGTTTTGGAAAGTTTGTTTTGAAAGTGTTTGTGGAGTGTGGTTTTGAAAAATAGGCAAGTGTGTTTTGCAAGTTTGATCAAGTAACTAAGAGTTTGTCTACCCCTAAATTTACTCAAAGGTTTTTCTCATGTTTTAACCCTTTTAACAATTTTGTTCCACCATTGTATTTAGTGGGCAATCTTGCGTTAGGATGTGAACGGGACAGGCGCGGGTCATCATATGGACCATGAATGCAATGGTGCCAAGTGTCTTTGGCAATTTTGCTTGAAGGGACTATGATCATTTTGATTAGGCAACTTTCGAAAGCGTCATCGAGGGACTATGATCATTTTGAATTGTTTTGTTTTGCCAAAGACACTCAACGTGCAAGCATGGCCCATTTTGGAAGGCAATATGTGGGATTACCCTAGGGGTGCAAGTGTGGTTAGTGTATTGATTTCATGTATTTATCTTTGTATTAGGTTATCTAGCATTTGATTTTATGTACATACAAATCCTAGGTCTAACCATGGTATATTTGAAAGCGATAAATTGCGGGAATTTAAAGTCTACGCTATTACAAATAAGTATCCGGGAGTGGGGGTACAAATGTTTACAAATGGGGATGAGACTTAAATGGGAGAGTAGTGTCCAAATAATTAACCAAATCGAATCGATCGCAATGTAAAATGTATCAAATGTACAGGAATAAGCAAATGTATAATGTAAATGTGTCAATGTATTTGTGTAAGTGCATGTAATTATTTACAAGTGAAATAAAATAATAAAAGGTTAATTTTTGGATATTTTCATGTTTAGGGCAAAACCCTAATTTTGCTAAATAAAAAGTATTTGTGAATTATTTTATATACAATATTTATTAATTATGTACAAAAATAAAAGAAAAGAAGTATGTTTGTAAAAAAGTAATTTTTGAGGTCAAATATTAATGAAAATAAAAATGTATTATTTTTGTATTTTTTATCCTAAATATGCTAATAAATATATAAGTATTTATATTAGGTATTAAACATATTAAATATATACAAAAAATAAAAATATTTATTATTTACAAAAAAAGTATATCTTTTTAGAAAATGTTTTCAAAAGGTAAAATAAAATAAAATCAGAAAATAAAATGTATTTGTATTATTTTTAGTATTTTAAATAAAAGGTATTATGTTTATTTATATGTATAAGTTTAAATAAAGCAAATAAAAATCCAAATAAAATGCAAAAAATGGTTGAAAAAATATTTTTAATATTTTTTATGTTTTGACACAAAATGAATCAGAATCAAAAGGAAAAAATCAAAAATGATAAAAATAACACACAATGGGCCAAGGGGGTGTAAGTGTAAAAAGATGGTGTAAACAGAAAAACAAAGTCAGGCCCAGCCCAAGGAGGCTTCTTCAACCTCCAGCCAATGTTTGAAACAAGGAAAACGCGCGCCTTTGCTCAACCTGCTAACTTCTGATTCCTTGATTTTCAACAAAAACTTACAACAACAATGTTATAGAGCATCATGTCACGATTCTAAACATATTAAGAAGTTGATCTAACTCTCAGAAATGAGAGAGAATTTCTTCTCCCCCAATTCTTGACCTAACTTTTCCCTAATGTTCAGGTTCCAAATTCTCTTAACACACACAATATAAATGAAAAGTGAGGATACAGGTAGCTTCAGGGCCATGAATAGAACATGCTTTCTTCACAAACCTAAGCCTAGATATGCCTGGATAGAGAGATAGAAGTTTAAACTTTTACCTGTTCAGCTTGAATCGTGTGCAACAATGGAGGTGCTTTCAATGCAATGTGAGGACTTGTACAGCTTGCCTGAGGTCCAAGGATGCTTTCTCTATGCTTGGCTTGCTTTGGATCCTTCTGAATCAATCCATGGAAGTCAACCTGCAAGAGAGAGAAATGAAAATGGAACACTTGGCTATGGCTGTTACAGCTTGTATCCAAGGCTTGGGATAGTTTGTATGGATGTTAGGGAATGTATTTGAACTGGTTTGGATGAAAACGCACGATAGGAATGGACTGGCCAAGTCAAAATGCAGAATGCCCTATTTCTTGCCACAAAACTGTGTTTTTCTGTATATGGAGGTTTGAGAGATGGTTTGGTCGTGTTTCAAACTTGGTTGGATATTTTGAAAGTGCTCATGAAGTTTGTTTTAGCTTGTGTTGACAGGAGTTCAATGTTGGACCAGTTTTGCAAAATTTCTTCTTTGATAAGTAAGGAAGTGTGTATGGATAATGCAGGCCTGTACTCCCCTCAATCTATGCTGCACAAATCACTCTTGATCAGTGGAATTTGTTCATGAATCTTGTGCCCAAAGATATGGCATGTACCTCTTAGATTGTGAACTTGACATAAAGTTGATCTTTTCAAAAATGGCTAAAATGCTTTTTTTCCAAATATGGCTTAATCTTGTATGTAATGGTTAAATACACAAAACAAGACATGAGCACAAGGGATATGCATTAAATTATTGAGTGTGGATGAGATAAAAGGCCTACAACCTAGCTTGTGCAAGCTGACTTGAAAATGGCAAACTTATGAACATGTAATTGGCTTATGAACAAAGTGACTTTTGCCCATCTTCACAAATTCGATTCTCCCTAACCACAAGGGTGTTTGGGAAGTTCTTGGACAATTTGGAAAGCTTGGAATGTGTACTACAATCCATCTTTGTAATTCAAGTTGAAATTCCAAGTGGAAGCATGTGAAAAGTGGCCATGAAGTTAGGTAAAAATCCTGCCTAAAATAGGTCAAAAACTTTCTAAGTTAAGAATATTTTGCACCCCTATTCCAAAAATCATAACTTGAGCTACAAGCTTCTTTTGAGTAAACTTTGTGAATCAAAGTTTTAGATTTTGCAATGGACTATAACTTTCATGTTTTGAGTTTTGTTTGAATCCAAATGTATCTTGATGAAAAGATGGGACAAATTTAGGAAAAAATTAGGAAATTTCATAACTTAGAAAATTTCTAAGTTATGAAATTTCTTCATTTCAAACCCTAATTTGTAATATTTGGTTTCTTGATGAACAAGTTTCATAATTTGACATGTGTTGATGAAAAATGAATCTTGGCACTTGATTTTGACCAAAAAGTCAAAGTTTGACTTTTCAGTATACAGTCAAATTTGATCAGTTGATTGGAAAATTCATATGTCAATCTTGTGCATTTGGGATCTTTTGAACTTGTTGAATGTGTCAAGACCATGTCATTGAGTCCTTCAGTTCATATGTGAGCTTGGTTTGCAATTGTCTAGGTCAAACAGTCAAAAATTGCCTTTGTGCAGTCAAACCCCTAAAAATGACCATTTTGCCCTTTTGGTGATCTGATCAAATTTCTTGTGGAGTTGTGATCCAAACTTGATCAAATGGTTCATATGAGTTCATAATGTTGATGAGGGTCAAATTTCATGAGGTTTGACTGTCAATTGGCCATAGTTGACTTTTCCCCAATACAGCTGATTTTTAGGTCAGCTGTCCAGTTGACTGGGCAAAGATTGGAATCAAGGCTTGAAACTTGGTATGGATAAACTTGTGAGTCCAACATGAAGCATGAAAGTCATTTTGGGTCTTTTAGGTCAAAATATCTTTGTGCAAACTCAAACCCTAATTTGGGTCAACAGTGCAAGGAGGAGTCTTGAGCAGAGCAAACCCTAACTTGATCTTGAGTTCCAAGGGTCTTGTGGTGAGAAAATATTGATGAAATGGGAGGGCAAATTTTGGGGTACAACAGTAGCCGTCTTTGCATTTAATGAACAAATGACACTTGTTAGAGCATGTTTCTTGAAACTTGATAAGACTTGTTAGCTTCTTTATTCTATCAGAACTAGCTTCACAACTTGCTTCAGAATATGCTTGCAAAACTTCTTATCAGCGATTGCTTGCAGAATACTTCTGAACATGGTTTACATGGAAACTTGCTAAGCTTTAGAAGATGCATTAAATAGTTTCTTATCAGAGTCAGCATCAGAACTTGCGCTAAAACAAATAGTTCTTTCATAAAAGAACTTCTTCATTTATTTTCAGCTCGGCACGTCAAAATGATTTTCATCTAAGAAAATACTTTAGTCAGAACATTATCTGAAACAAATAAATATGCTCATCAGAGTATCAATTATATAAAATATATTTTATTGTTATCATCAAAATTTTGAGATATGATAAGAACCAATCTTGTTATAATATTAATTTCCCGATTTTTCGCAGGACTACATTGGTGACGCGTCAACTGCTTTCTCGGTGTTTAGCTGGATCATTGCAAGTTCAGTTTGTCACTGGTCCGTCTCCCTTGCCTTGCCAAGCAACTGCATGTTTCATAGTGTTGTGTCTTGGTTCGTTGTCTGGTGATCTAGGTCGAATTTCAGTTGAAGTTAAATGTCTGTCTTTCAGAAGTGGTTCTTGTTTTTGTAACCTGCGGAAGTTTTCAAGCTTTGGTCGTTGACGGTTCTAGCTTGGGTGTCCCTTTTGCTGATTTCAGCGGTAATCCTGTGGTGGCAAGGTAGTATTTGTTTTGTTTAGCGGTGCTGCACCCTTTTTTTTGTATTGAGGTTAGGTGTCGTTGCTCAGCTTTTAGCTTAGGCGGAATTATGTTTCGTTTTTGTGCTAGCTGATATCTCTGTTTTGAATTTTGGACCTGCCTGTAATTTGTTAGATAATGATGCCTGATATTTTGTGTTTCTGATATAGCTGGAAGATATTGATAAATTTGTATCCTTTAGACATCCTGATGCATTTCTTTTAATATATTTAGTCTCTTTTGTTCTTTCAAAAAAAAAGTTAAAAGAGAAACAAGAGAGACAAATATACCGTTAGATTTAGCAGCGAAAACATGAACAACCAAATCATCATTACAAAAAAGAAATAGAACTATGATTCAATAACATAGTGAAAACTGATAACAAAAACATAATAACAACCATAATTTTATGGTGGCATTTAGCACGGACAAGTGAGTTTCTAACCACCATGAATAAGTGAAAATTTTAATCATTGATATATTATTATTTATATTCAATGGTTGAGATCTTTGATCTGTAACTTATTTGTGACTTTTTTTTTTGATAAATTTAAAAAAAAGCTGAAATATTAAAATATTATATTTAATAATTTTTTATTAGGCCTCCAAAAATAACTATTTGTCTTCTTCATCTTTTCCATCTTTTTTTATATTTTGAACTTTTGAGTTTGTAAAGTTCAGTTCCAATTTGTGTTTCGATTCAACATCAAATTCCAAAAAAATTAGTATCAATTAAAGAATTAAATGCTCTTAAAAGAATTAAGGAATGATTATTCAACATTAGATCAATCTCATGTATCAGGTGAAGCAAATGTTCTATTTTTTATATTTTAATTCTTAAAAAACTTAAACGTGTATTAGGAATGAGTTATCCAGAAGCATTTGTATGCCATAATGTGTCATTCACCATTCCTTCATGAGTCAATCTGTTTCCACCATGTTGACTATTTCATCCAATACATTGCTATTTGTTACATCAATGCCATGGCGGCGGTTATACTCATAATTCATTTCCTTACGGATGAACACACACCTCAAAGATTTCGCAAGATTTACAGTGGCAAATCTACCGTGGAAAGGTCATAAAGCCACCAATCTACCAGCTTTGGAGATCCATTTTATATAATATATGTTTTTTCTTTATAAGAAACTCTAACTTATTTTGGTGGATGTCCCCTGTCTTTTTGTTTTATTTTTTCTTTTATATATGGAATCTTCATTAAAAATTTTGGAAAGAAAGCAGAGTTTTGCAATGAAGAAATCATAGGGAGGTGTTGATATTTCTGGTATTAACCAGAGCATTATATGTCAGTGGTGTAGTGGAGTCGTTGCCGTCGTACTCTCTGTTTTTCTTTCTTCAGAAATTGAATGAAATAATGAGCAAATCCATGTCTGTAGATTAGCATCACTGTAATGTTGTTTAAAGAAAGCCTACGATTCGGTGGATTGAAACTTCTTGATACTAGTAATGGAGAAAATGGGATATCATGATAAATGGCGAAGTTGGATCCTAGAATGTCTAAGGACAATGACAGTTTCAGTGTTTGTAAATAGATACCCTACAAAGGAATTTACTATGGATCGCGGGTTGAGACAAGGAGACCCGTTACTCTGTTGTTATTCTTAATCGTAGCGGAAGGATTCAGCCAATTAATGAAGAAAGCTGTTGATACAGGAAGGTTTTTTGGATATAAATTTTAGATTGGTGAAAAATGATTCTCCCACCTTCAATATCAATATGCAGACGACATTATGATCGTTAGTGAGAAAAGTTGATCCAATATTCGAACCATAAAGGTGATACTGCTGCTGATCGAATCAATGTCCGGGCTGAAAGTAAATTTCAAAAAAACTCAATTGTAGGAATTAACATATCTCAAAATTGGATCGGAGAGGCGGCTAACATCCTACCTCGGGCTTCCAATTGGGACAAATCCGAATCGGAAAGATACTTGCAGACATGTGATAAATATTGTGAAATCAAGGTTGAGAAGGTGGAAGAACAAAAATTTATCTATTGGCGGCCGATAGTAATCTTAAAATGTGATCTTTTTGCAATTTTGATTTATTATCTCTCCTTCTTCAAGGCTCCATCAGGTATCATATCAAAACTAGAGTCTATTTTCTCACAGTTTCTATGGGGGTTGCAAGGAAGAGTGAAAAATAAATTGGGTCAAATGAGAGTTGGTGTGTAGACCGATTGAAAATGGAGGTTTGGGGATTAGAAACCTTAAAAAGTTTAACACCACCATGTTGAGAAAATGGGAGTGGAAAGTGGTTAATGAGAGGAGAGGAATTTGGTTTGAAGCGTTAGCCAATAGGTACAGGTCGATTAATGGGGTTTTAAGCCTTGGGGTTAAATGGAACGTCAATTTGGTGAAAGGATATATGTAATATAGATATAAGAGGGTGGGTATCGTCAAGGGAATATTCGGTGAAAGAGTGGTACATAAGCATGTAGTCGGATGACCAACATTTAGTTAGTCACCCATAGTGCAAAATCTGGAATAAAGCGATACCTTCCAAAGTATCGTGTCTGGCGTGGAGAGTGCTACAAAATAGAATTCCTACAAAAAAACAATTTAATTCGAAGGAGAGTTTTATCTAATAGCCAAATAGGTTGTGTCGGGGAGTGTCGGAGAAAGGAATCGATTTCTCACTTTTTTTTTTAGTGTCGAAAACTTGCAGGTGCTTGGAGCCTCATATGCAATTGGATTGGAGTTTATTCAAATCTGCATAATGATGGATGACAACATCTCGAACAGTTTGAAGGTTTGCTTGCAACACAAAGAATGTTAACCTTAAAATTGAGAGTTATATGGGCTGCGTGTGGTGCATATGGAGATACAGGAATAATAAAGTGTTCCAGAACGAGGAAATTCAATTGAAAAATTTGGTAGAAGAGTCGAAGATCTTGGCCTGGAGATGGCTGAGACTAAAAGCTAACTCTATTGCTGATGATATAGTTGCGTGGTGCAAGAATCCTAAGGCGTGTCTCGGCATACTTGAGGTTTGAGTCGTTGGGTGCGTGTAGAGCTGGTGTGGCTACTGTTGTCGTGTGAGGCGCTCAGTTGTACGTCTGTGACAGAGGTGAAAACTGGTCCATGCTAAAGCTTTGATCCAAGGCTGATTCATGGTGTGATCTTTACTATATATTTGTTCTGCATAATTTTCCATTATATCAGGTTATGTAAGTTGGTATTAGGGAGCTGTATTGTTCTGTATTCCTGGGAGCTGTATTAGTGTTTACCTATGGTTTTGGTAAACAACCGCTGATCCTCCAAATGGTTACTTATTTGGTTACTCGCAGGATCGATCAGATTGATCCTATGGACATAGGTTGATTTTGAAGTTTGATTAATGTGGATAAGGCTTTAAGTAAAATGTTCAAAGTAAATTGCATAAAGGAAAGGCTTGGTAAAATAAACAAGGCTTGAATGTAAAGGTTCGACAGGAATCTTAAAAGGGAAAAGCATGTAAAATACTGGAAAAGTAAATGACTTGAATTGATTAAATTGGTGTTTCACACATACATTTCTCAACAATTCGTTCGCTCACACTGGGTACTTGAATCTAAATGAGTGACTATGTATTTATTGTGAACACACGCGAGAAACTACACGTCTACTCCTATTTATACAAAAACATTCCAAGTAACCGTCGGGCAGTTACACCGCTTCGAGATCAAGCCACTTGTCACGTTCTCCATGCTCGATGTTCCAGATCCTTGCACGTTTGCACGTAGTAACTGCTGGAAACCGTTTTCCCTCCAAAGCTTTGAATTTCAAACTGCTCCACTTCTGGATCATCGAACACCTTCATTAAAAGACGTCTTCGACGAAAACCCTTTCGACGTCGAAGGCAATCAGCCTTCTTCCTTGGAAGAAATCTTCTAAGTATTTTGCCATCTTTCGACGGGCACTTCGACAGGCTTAGCCAGTCGAAAGCATCTTTCAGCTTTTAATGGCTGCCATCAATCAAAACAAAGGTGTCGAATTTAGGAGCCAACAAATTGCCCCCCAAGAATGCCTTATTTCGACTCTGAAAGAAAAAGGCATTATTTGAAAACGCCATTCGACACCTGTTTTTCCACGCTTAGTCACAAGTTAACTTGTGCACTTTTTGTTGCTTTTTACCAACTATTGGCAATCCCAAGAAACCATCATTGATTTGATCCTAGGACGTCACTTTCAGTACGGCGTGCAGAACCAAACATCACTTCATAATTTGTCATTATGACAAATTCAAAAAACGAGGACGCACGCTGCGTCTCTCTGTTTCTGCAGAAACGGCCAAAACAACAGGATGCTGCCACGCGTCCCACTAATTCCTGCAGCAATAAATGACATTTAATGTCCTCGTTATTGGGAATTTCTCCCACTACTATAAATAGTAGTGAATATCCCATTGTGGGACTTTTCACGCACACTAGCCTTCAAACTCCCTTGCTTTCTCACAAACTTGTTCTCTTTGCAGAAAAACTCTTCTTTTTCCAACTTCATCTTCATCCTCAACAATGGCCTCTGCTTCCACTGCCCCCAAGACTAACGCACCAACTGAACAACTTGCTAAGCCTAAGGTCTTTGTTACTGCTCCGGTAGTGAACGCTACAGGGAAACGAAGGGTCCCTGAACCATCTGACATCTCCGTTCGTGATGCTTACTCGCGTCACTTGATGATTCCGGTTGGATACTCCAACCAAATCTTCGCAATGGCTGGACCCATGAACCCAAGCATCTCTGAAGCTCTGAAGATCAAGAGCTATTTTCCTATCGTCGAGAAACTCAAACCAGTAGCCTGTGCTAAGAAGGATGCAGAAGACAACGAAGACCCCACACACGAGAAGATTGACCTTCGTTTCTTCAACAGAAGTGTTAGAGTCTTCAGGTCTTGCCCTAATCTGACCTCTGACTATGTTGCTTGGCTAACAAAGTTGGAGAAACATCAAACTCCAGTCTGGAAGGAGATGGGAATCTTTGACCTAGTAATGCTGTCGAAGACAGGCTTAAACTACTCCCCAGAGATGCTTATAGCTTCGCTGTTGTTCTGGGATAACTCCCACTTCACCTTTCACCTTCCATGTGGGATGTTAACTCCCACACTCTTCGACGTAGCGGCCATCACTGGCCTTCGACCAACCGGAGATTACTTCGACCCGGAGGAGATGTCGGAGGACCAAATTGGCTTTTCTGAGACGAAGCCAACATTCACCACCTTTATCAACCATTATCATGACCGGTCGACAGACGCAGTGTCAGACGTTGAACACATAGCGTTTCTAGCCTTATGGCTAACTCGCTTTGTGTTCTGTTCGAAGTCTCTGCAAGTGACCAAAAAGATGGTCACTCTTGCCACCCAACTGCATCACCGCCAGAACATCTGTCTGGCAGAACTGATTCTGGCCAGTCTTTATGACTCCATCAGCAATGGGGTTACTCTCTTGAAACATGTCGAAGATAGGAACAGTTTGCTACTCGCTGGGCCTTTCTGGCTACTTCAACTGTGGCTCAATGCCACTTTTGAATCCTTCTTACCCAAGAAGAGTCAGATAAACGAACAAGCCCCAGCGATAGCTAATAGACGTATCGAAGGAATTAGGCTGGCTCTACTGACACCTGTGGAAGATGGGCTAGAGTTCCAACAAACCTTCACTAACTTCGTCCTGATGTTCGCTCGAAGGAAGGAATTTGTTTCGACTATGGCTCCATTTGCACAACGAAAGGTGGGGCCAGCATGGTTTACAAGGCCACATCCCAAGGAGTCGAGTGGTCCCAATGTCGATGAGCACTCTGTACTTTGGGAGGCATTCCTTACCCCAAGGATTATGCCTCTTCGATTTAAGAGTTCTAAGACTCATCTGAGTCTGCTTGCCTATCAACCCAATCTGGTATCTCGCCAGTTTGGTATCATCCAAACCCTGCCTTCTCCCATTTTCCAAAGAGAGAAGTCAATGTTGTACTTCTGCAACGATTATACAGAAGAAGCTGCTACCAAGCATATCGGAAGATATGCTGGTCGAACCATCCTCTCGCTGTTCAACTACCAGCTTAACTTCCTTTGTTCGCCATCTTTTGAAGAATGGTGGAGAAGCTATTACGCTGAGTACTTCTTCGACGAGAAGGACTTCATAGCAGAGTTGCAGAAGTCTTTTGTCCTTGTGTTTGACAAAGTAAAGAAATGTAAGTTCACACTCTCACATTACTTTTTATCTTTCTCTTCGACTGTTAGCTTGTTAACTTCCCTTTTCGCTTTCAGTTGTTCGAAAGCCCCTAGCCAAGAAGGCTACAGAAGGCCCACAAGGAAGAGTCCCTTCGACCAAACCTCCACCGCCGGCGAAGACTATAGCGCCGGCGAAGACAACGGGCAACCAACAGGGGGAAGGCTCTTCGAGGAGGCCTCCTGCATCGGTAACCAGATTTTCTTCATTTCCATTCTGGCTTTCGATTATTTATTTTCGACGTAATTATTCAATCGAATTCCTATTGGTTTTCCAGGCCCCTTCGCCCAAGAAAAGGGCAGCATTTGTGATCGAATCGGGGAGTGACGACGAAAGTGATTCCCCTCCTTCTCCCTTAAAGAGACGAAAGTTAACGAAGGACGCTTCTGTTCCTACTCCAGCTCCTGAAGGTCGAACCGTCAGAATAAAGGTAGCTGTGAGAAAGCCTAGGCCACCTGCAGTGGTCATCGAAGAACCAACTGAGGAGGAACTGAACGCTCTAGTTAACAAGCCTGTCGAAAGTGATAATTCCAGCCCTGGGGCTGAAGCCAATCCACAGGTAATCTATTGGACCCTTCTTATAATTTAGGCATAGATACCAGTATTCGATTATGTCTCTTTCGACATCTGAAGATTTATCTTCTTTCTCCTTTTTAGGACACTACTGGAAGTTCCCCACCAAGGACTTCAGAAACTCTGGAATCTGCTGACCTTAGCAGGCCTCAGGTGCAAGATTTGGGCAATGACGAAGCCCACACTGAGACTGAGGCCAATGCTGAAACAGTGGAGAAGACGAATGAAGAACCTATGGCGGAGGAAACACAGCCAGAAACGGTTCCTGTGGTGGACTTGTCGTCAGAAGAGAATCCTGAAGGAAGAGACCAAGGCAATGGCGAAGAGAATCAAGATGCTGTTGACGAAGAGCATCAAGGTGGTACTGGCGAAGACCACCAGGGGGACGCTAGCGAAGAGCCACAAAATGACGCTGGCGAAGGACCCCAAGGTGATGTTAACAAAGATCCTCAAGTCGATGCTAGTACCGCCTCAGTTCAAGTCGAAGAGCAACCAAACGAGGCACTCAGCATTCAACAGCCTCCAGCCCAAGATAATACTGTGGCAAGGGTCACCTCCTCAAAGCACAGGTCGAAAGAGGACTTGGAAATCCTGAAACAAACTGACCCTGTCAGCTACCTTAATGCCATCGTCGAGAGTAAGAGTTCTTCTGACATTAGTCAGGAAATTCCTACTCTGTCAGGGAAATCTACTGAGACATCTCCTCTTGATGATGCGTTGGCGAAGGTTAAGGCCCAGTTCTTCAAGAGAGATTTAATGAAGGCTTTAGAGGGGGACCCCACTGCTCCATCTTGCTTGAAAGAGGTTTTGAATGCTGTTGACTTCGAAGCTGTAGCCCCAGAAATCTCAGACTTAATCATGGAATTGCATTCTATGATTGATCAAGTCTCCGCGGATTACAGGCGCCAACGAACTTTTAACAGTCAGCTCGAAGTGTTGCATGGCAAGAGCTCATATGCGTGGACAGTTGTCTCAGATTCGACTTCTCGAATTGCCGAGTTATCGAAACAGAAAGCGTCTGCACAGGAAAGGTTCGATGCTATTGAGCGAGAGAATGTCTCCTTCCGAGCACAAATTGCAGAGATAGAGGCGAAGATAAACGCCAACACTGTGCTCCAGGAGGAAATTCTTTCGACCATCCCAGATACTGAGAGCCAGACTGAGATCAAGCAAGGCCTGGAGTTCGCAGAGAGGGCTCAAAGCCTCGACGCTCAAATTGCCAAACT